ACCAAACTGGTGACTGAATCTTATTTAGCACTTTTTGAATGGAAATTAAATAAAATGTCCAACAAGAAATAAGTATGAGGGCCTTGTCTTGTGCTTCTTCTTATAGTTTAAAGAGGATGAATTTTAACTTATTAATTATGTTGGTTATTCACAACCCAAAAAATTTAATTATAAGATTGCGTGATGAGTTTAACATTTGATAATTCATATTTTCTAGGGCAAGTTCCAAATTCGTCAAGTGATGAAAGATAAAGTATGTATTGGTTTAAAATTGATTTATAAGATACTATTGGCTTAATTGCCTTGTTTTCCACGCTTGCAGGAAGGATTTTGCTGATTATGCTGAGTTTTGTTTCAAGATATTTGGTGACAGAGTGAAAAATTGGATGACCTTTAATGAACCAAGGGTCATTGCAGCGCTCGGGTTCGATAGCGGCTTGAATCCACCTTGTAGGTGCTCCCAGCCGTATGGGAACTGTACAGCAGGCAATTCGGCCACTGAGCCGTATATTGCAGCACATCATATGATACTGTCTCATGCTGCAGCAGTCAAAAGATATCGCAAAAGATACCAAGTAAGAATCAATATCAATTCTTTTTTAATTTTCTTTTGAATAAAGTTGATATCCTGTACTCTTCCATCTACTCTTAGGCGGAGCAACAGGGAAGAATCGGAATTTTGTTGGATTTCGTCTGGTACGAACCTTTGACAAGTTCACTGGAGGACAATTATGCTGCTCAAAGAGCAAGAGATTTCCATATTGGCTGGTAAGAAAATACACTTAACATGGAGGAAATGATAATTGTGTCCCTCCTCTAATGTGGATTTCATTTGACAGGTTTCTACACCCTTTAGTCTACGGAGAATATCCGAAAACGATGCAGGAGATAGTTCATGATAGGCTTCCGAAGTTTACTAAAAGAGAGGTCAAGATTGTGAAAGGCGGTTTTGATTTCATAGGCGTTAACCACTATACATCTTACTACATGTTTAACCCAAACTGGACTGAAACCTCTCCACCAGGCTATCAGGCAGATTGGAATGTTGGATTTGCTTGTAAGACCTAGCTTTTAAACTAAAAAAGCCCGTCATTAATTCACATAAATGATTTTTCTTTTGATTGATTTGCAGTTGAAAAGGACGGAGTTCCGATCGGGCCGAGGGTAAATCTTCTGAATTCCTATAAGAATAGCTGAGAACTGCATTTTGAGCCAAACCTCTTAGTATTTCTGTCATTCAAGCTGTAGACATTCTTTGACATACTCATAAAAAGAAAAACTATGCTTCCAAGTCCGTTCTCATTTCCATCTCTCCATTCTGTAAATTGCTTGATTTGTGTATATGTTGGTTGGTTTAATTTTACTTGGAATGTCAAACATATGCAGGCAAATTCAGGTTGGCTTTATATAGTGCCATGGGGTATCAACAAGGCCGTTACATACGTAAAAGAGAACTATGGAAACCCATATATGTATCTCTCCGAAAATGGTATTGAAATCCTATTACTACTAATCATATCTAGGGTATTTTTTTGTTTAGGCATCTCATGACTTTGCTTGTACTTAGGTATGGACGACCCAGGTAATGTCACTTATACGGAGGGATTGCATGACAGTACGAGGATAAACTACTACAGGAGCTATCTGCAGGAATTGAAGGCGGCCATCGATAATGGAGCGAATGTAAATGGCTACTTCGCTTGGTCGCTACTCGACAACTTTGAGTGGCTGTTGGGCTATACCGCTCGGTTCGGCATCGTCTACATGGACTTCAATGACCTCTCTAGACACCCGAAGATGTCGGCCTACTGGTTCAAGCAATTGCTAGAAAAAAGCTAAGCATTTGCTAGTTATCTAGAGTCTAGTTTTCGTTTCATTTCTTGGCTAGATATTTCCATTTTCCATTAGTAGCTTTGTCAATATCTTTTCTGAATTATTTTTGCTTCGAAGCAGGTTGAACCGGGCAAGATCCTTTTTTTAGCCTAAACTCTTCAATAAATGAAGTTCTTTCTCCCTAATCTAATCAATAAAATGGAGTTCATTCTTCTTAATTTAAGAGGTAATTATAGGTTTATAAATTGTCTTTGTTTTGCATCATTCTATTCATTTCCAGGACAGCTTATGACACCTTGTGAAAGTGATTACATTTCTTCCAATCCACCATTCTTGAGTGAGATCCACCATAGAGAGAAACAAAAATCATCTGAGAATTTCATAATTTTTCAACTTAAAAGCTTAAACTTTTAAGATAATCAGCTGTCCATTTTAATCAGTGTTAAATTCGTATTTGATGCTTTTTTCCTTCTCGTGAATCTCTTCGCTGATCACTCTAATATGGACATTGCATCGCCAAGTCTGGTTGCAATATATCACTCTAATATGGATTAATTTAAACCTTCCTTGTTAATAGAGATATTCAAATATCCCTCTTCGGATTGGATTTGATCGTGTGAGATCTCAGAGATTTGACAAATCTATAGTTTGTTGAGTTTAGAAATGGTGATGCCAATTGAAAAAGACAAATTTAAAATGCGAATAATTAATAAATAAACATAAAAAATGTTAAAAATATCAAGATTGCCCTCTTTCCTTTTTCTTTGTTTCTTCTTCTGATTCCGTGACCGAGTCCAATTTTGCACACTGGGTATTCTCGGAAACCGAAAATGAAAAGAATGTCCGAACTTTTCCCTTAAATATTGGCCAAATCTCAGAAAAAATGCATCAACTTATGTCACTGAACAAAAATATTGTCACTTTTCAAATGACCCCGCAAAATACAAGAACTTTTACTTGCGAAATAAGGGAAAAAACCACCAAAAACCCCAAACTTTCCCACTTGTGACACATTTACCCCGAACTTTTTTTTGTGACACCAAAAATCCCAAACTTTGTTATTTGTGACACATTTACCCCGATATACATTGTCCATGTCATTTTCGTCTTTTTGGCTTTTTCTTTTTCTTTTTACTTTTTTTTTTCTTTCCGGCGAGGGCCACCCTCGCCGGCGTCGGGCGAGGCTCGCCCTCGCTCGCCCCGGCGAGCCCCGAGGCTCGCCTCGCCGGGCGAGCGAGGCGAGCCTCGCCGGCGTGCCGGGCGAGCCTCGCCCTGGCTCGGGCGAGGAGGCGAGGCTCGCCCGACGCCGGCGAGCCTCGCCTCGCCTGGGCGAGCGAGGGCGAGGCTCGCCGGCGCCGGGCGAGCCTCGCCCGGCTGGGCGAGGAGGAGGGAGGCTCGCCCGACGCCGGCGAGGCTCTCCCTCGCCGGGCGAGCGAGGGCGAGCCTCGCCGGCGTCGGGCGAGCCTCGCCGGTGTCGAGCGAGCCTCGCCCTCCTCGCCCGAGCCGGGCGAGGCTCGCCCAGTGCAAGGGCAAGCCTCGCCGGCATCGGGCGAGCCTCGCCCTCCTCGCCCGAGCCGGGCGAGGCTCGCCTGGCGAGGGCGAGCCTCGTTGGCGTCGGGCGAGCCTCACCGGCGTCGGGCGGGGCTCGCCCTTGCCTGGGCGAGCGAGGGTGAGCCTCGCCCGACGCCGGCGAGGGCCCCCCTCGCCGGATCCGGCTAGGGGCCCTCGCCGGAAAGAAAAAAAAAGTAAAAAGAAAAAGAAAAAGCTAAAAAGACGAAAATGACCATGGACAATGTATATCGGGGTAAATGTGTCACAAATAACAAAGTTTGGGATTTTTGGTGTCACAAAAAAAAGTTCGGGGTAAATGTGTCACAAGTGGGAAAGTTTGGGGTTTTTGGTGGTTTTTTCCCGCGAAATAATAATACCCATCGCTAAATTTTCATCTAAACAAGTTAACGTGGCATTTGACGTAACTAAATAGTTACTATTATTGTTGTTGTTGTTATTTGTTTATTTATTTATTTATTTTTGGGGTTAATTCTTTCTCATGTTCGAAAGAGGTGGAAAGCCAGAGTCAATTTTGGTACTCTTAATAAAAAAGTAAAAGTAGTACACCTTTTGTCTAATTAAGTAGATAAAATTGGTGCATGGTGAATATGATTATTTATGTAAAATTAATTGAGGCATTGTGTCTAATTAAGGGGGGGATAAATGGAAAAGAAACAAAACAAAGTGACAAAAGTGAAACAAACTCCAAACCTGTGCCATCATATTATGAACCGTTCATTAGAAATGTCGAGCATTGCCTTAACAAGTTCAATCGCAGAACACCCCAGTAACATGAGATCCGCCAGGTCAAATGAAGGCGCTGTAGCTTGCATTGTGCACAATACCGCCAGGTCTCTGGTTGATGAATTTGCTAGATCAGTGAGGGCTGCATTAGCGAATCAGGCGGAAACCCTAGCACTTGTCCACGCATTGCGCTTTCTCTCTCCTCGTAGAAGTCTTAAGCTGGAACTCAAATCTGATTGCTTGAGTTTAATGTCCTCTTTGAAGTCAGCTGATCAGCAAGGGTGGGAAGAACGAACACTAATCACCAAAGCTTCTGATTTGTTGTCTTGCTTTTCAGATATTAAAATCGAGTTTTGTAATAGGGAGCAAAATAGAGTTATGGATTGGGTTATCAAAGCCCAACACACGAATAGAGTTTTGTTTAGATGCCCCTGCTATGGGCTTTGTTTCTTGAGTTCTAAATAATATAACTTAGAGTTTCTAGACCCACAAAAAAAAAAAAAAACACGAGATCCGACTTTGACACTTTTGTTCCTGCCAAGAATATGGCTGCAATGTCATTTCTCTCATTTGCCAATTCATATCAATCACCAAATGTCAGAGGGTGGTGCACTTGAGAATACTTGGTCGCAGGAGTTGTTTAGACACCCATAAATCTCTCTTGCGGATTACACCAAACAGCCGACCTAATTCAGCTGATCATTCATCTCAATACTGTTCATCTGTTCATCAAACAATGTCTTGTGGGTGAAGGATTTAAAGCAAAATAACAATAATTCAGTTGATTGTTTACGATGAAAGTTCCTTCCGACAAATCAACGGTAGTTTTGGCAGAAAAAAAATGAAAAGAACAAGAAAGAAAATGTCTGGCATTAATCTCTTGCTCGGCGACGCCAAATACACACTTCAAGCTTGAGGCCCAAGATGTCGTCAAAGAACCTTCTTGGCACCAAAAGGCAAGGCTCCTGATTCGGATCAGATTCAAATTCTGGAACGCTCTTGGTGCAAGTGTGAAGCTTGAGAGAGCTTTCCCGGTAATTCGCTTCTATGTCATACGAATAATCCGCCTTTGGCAAGGGGCCAATGCAACTGACCTTAATCTTGCTGCCCAGGTCTATAGTTTCGTTTTTCAAGACAAAGAGAACATCTTCTCTCTCTTCTTTAAGCAGACGGACCTCCGTCTTGACGTTTATCAAGAGAGAGGTGTTGGAGTTGAAACGAAAGTACGTCGGAGAAGCCCCATGCTTGGACCTCAAGTGCTTCACTAACTTCCTAAACGAGCCAACATAGCTGCAACTCGAAAAGGGACACGAACACGGAGCGAACTGACATGTCTTCTCGTGGTCGTTTCTCACGTGGTAAGCAAACTTCTGATTGCAGCCGAACTTTGCATTTTGACATGCCATCCTGACAGACTCCAGGACCTTCTCGATGGGGCGGCATCTGTCGTAGCCAATAGGCATAGAGCAGGACGGGCATCTGTTGTTTATCATTTCACAGCAGGAGGAGCAAGCCATGTGCCCATTTTCACACTATTTCCCGAAGACAAAGGACTATCAGTTCAGACATATAACAGCAACTATCACAAAGAATGTCACTTTGTTCGGTATATTCAAAATATTATCCTGAAAATGCCGTACAGGTAAATGAATTTAGTCATTACAATAAGAACATGAGGTTAAGTAGCACTCACTAAAATAAGAGCTAAGGTGAAAAAAAAAATTAAAATCTACCACTGCAGTGATTGACACAACATCAGATTCACGCAACCCTAACATCCGACAAACCCAGATCATAAATACTCCAAACAAAGAGACTATTTTCAATCAGGTTAATATCATGAAAAACTTCAAACTGATACACATGTAACAAATTTACCCCAAACTAATTTTTTGACCGCTAAAAATCCCAAACTGGTATATTTGTGACAAATTTACCCTCCGTTAATTTCCGTTAAATTGAATTAATATCACAAAAAATCACAAACAGATACACTTGTGATAAATGGAGGGTAAAACATAAAACCGGTACATCAGTTAACTGTCGTATGTCATTTAACAAAATAATTTGACAGTAAAATTTAACTGAAATAAAATGAGGGTAAATTTGTCACAAGCGTACCAATTTGGAGTTTTTTGTGACCAAAATATTAGTTTGCGATAAAATTGTCACAGATGTATCAGTTTGGAATTTTTCGTGGTATTAACCATTTTCAGTTCAATCCTGAAATAATCACAGCTAATAAGATTTAGCTTGAAAAGGAGATAGCTATCCATACAATAAGGCTAGTGTACCTTCCAGACACCCAATAATGAAACCCTGTTATCTTTCTGAAACACTGAGGTCAGTGAGAGTAGCACACCCTTCTTTAATTCTCTTTGATAAAAAAATCAATCTTCCTGTGAAGCTTAACGATTTAGAGACAAAAAAAATTTCAGAAAAATAAATTATGTAGGCAGAAATATAATCCTGGAGCTAAACTAGACCCTGTGTTGAGACTTGAGAGTCTTTGGCCGATGGGGATCAATATGTCTATTTCCTTTATTATTTTTAGTATGGCGGCAATAAGGATGATATTGTAATTTTGATCTTTTGACTTTATATAAATAAATAGCTTTGGGTCACATTGACCTAACTAAATATTCAATTTAGTTTTTTTGTCTTTCAACATGATAACAAAGCAAGGGCTAAACTGAAAGTGATGCCGGAGCATTCCTTGAAGACGTCGAGTTGTCAATTTCATCGATCAACTAACAAGTTGTCGATTTGCAAGTTGATTGTTGATTCCAAGTTAACTCATTGATCACGACGTGTTGAAGGCTATTCGGTTCCTTCAAAAAACATGAAGGCCATTAATTCAGTCTTTGGAACTAGTAATGCATGGAGACCCACAACCGATTAAACTTAATTCTCATATTTTCAAAGTCTAGTAAGTGTTGTTCAAGTTTCTAGAGTCCTTATTTATTTATGGTTGTTTTCTAGTAAATGTTATTTGTCTTTCCTATGAGTCTTTTGTCTTTCCAAAGAGTCTTGATAATTACTCATGCTTGGAGGGTTGTTCCATGCTCATCTATATAAGCATGCTATGATGAATAACAGAAAAAAAGACTTATTTGATTCAAAACTAATTGAGCTTTTGGCTTAAGAACAAGGAGTTCTTGTTTACTCTTTTTCCTTAGGTGGATTTCTACGGATGACGAGTATTGCTCTTATCTCTTAGGTTAATTACCTATGAGTGGCGAGCGACCTATATATTAAAGTTATCACTTGTGTTATCTCATACTTCTCTACACTTTCTCCAGCGTTAGAAAGTCTAACCCCAATTTCTTCTCTATGTAACTTTTCTTTTCTCCCTCTCTTCTTGTCTTTGCCCTCTCCCGCCGTAATTCCTTCTCACTTTCTCCTTTGCTTTCTTTCACGGTGTAGGGCATCACTAATAAAGTGATTCTTTGAATCTAGTCTGCCCTAAATCTCACCTCAATGAGATATACTAAAACTTCTTTGTAGTCTGTGATAGGCGGTTCAATCTCCTTTGCAATTTTTTGGATCTTCTTGTTAGAGATTGTTTCTGTCTTGCCACTAGTTTACAATTCTCTCGTATATGAAGACCAAAGTACCACAATTTGTGGACGACCATAATTTTTTTTCAGAATCTTTGGGAAAAATCAGAATTATCAATTTTTTTTTTAGGTTTTTAAAACCTAGCAAAAATTGATTTTTGCCTTCCCTTGATCTAATTTGGCCGATCTTTTGGAGGACAGCTTCATGTACTACTGAGGACAAGTGGATCTCGAATGACTCTTTCGTAATGTCTTTTTCGCTTAACTCGATGCAACCACATATTGCAAAAGGATATTTGCTTCTTGATACTGCGACACATATTTGGTCAGCTACTAGGGATACTGATGGTCAACTCGGTAATAATGCACATATATATGAACTTCAAAACATGGTTCATGACATCACTCAGAAGGAAATGAGTATATCTCAATATTATGCTGAGTTTTGGAGTTTGTGACAAGAGCTAGATCATTATGTTGATTATCACCCAATCAATGTTGCAGACATTGCTGCCTACAGGAACCATGTGGGCAAGATCAAAGTTTTCGATTTGTTGGCAAGATTAAATGCTGAATATGATCAACTATGTGTTCAAGCCCTTAGTCAGTCTCCATTCCCTATTTTAAAACAATCTAGTTCACTCTAAAGAAAGCTGTAGGATAGCAATGCTCCATCCCTCCACCATTGATCAATCTGCTCAACTAACTAGTGTTGACACTATTGCCAAATATGGTTTGTCCTCTCAATTTGATGATACCTTTAAGGAGGTTGTGAAGTGTGAATATTGTCTTAGGTTGTACCATACTAAGGTTACTTGCTGGAAGTTACATGGAAGACCTACAGATTTTGAGGCAAAAAAGGCGGGGGAAGAACAGCATTGGTGCCAAAACTTGTGTACGGAGGCCACTTTGGTGCCAAAAGTTTCAATCGAATCACTTAAGTGCTAAAAGTTGTGAAAAACGATCATTTAAGTGCCACTTCGCCGGAAATCCGACGTGGCATTTTTTTATTAATTTCTCAAGCTGATGTGGCTCGCCGGAGGCTGATGTGGCATTTTTTTTCCTTTTCTTTCTTTTTTCCTTTCTTTTCTTTTTTTTATCTTTTCTTTCTTCTTATTTCCGATGGCCGGCGTCCGGCCATGGCTGGCCTCGCCGAGCGTCGCCTTCCTCCGGGAGAGGCCCGGCGAGGCCGCCGTGGCCTCGGCGAGGGCCGGCCTCGCTGGATCTGGCAAGGCGAGCCCTCGCCGGGGCTCGCCACTGCCCGGGCGAGGTCGAGGTCGCTGGGTAGGGCCGGCCCGGCGAGGGCTCGCCTCGCCCGGTTCGGCGAGGCCGGCCCTCGCCGAGGCCACGGCTGCCTCGCCGGGCGTCGCCTTCCTCCGGGCGAGGCCCGGCGGGGCGATCGTGGCCTCGACGAGGGCCGGCCTCGTCGGATCTCGGCGAGACGAGCCCTAGCCGGGGCTCGCCCTCCCGGGCGACCTCGACCTCGCACGGGCGGGCGAGCCCCGCCGGGGCTCGCCTCGCCAGATCTAGCGAGGCCGGCCCTCGCCGAGGCCACGGCTGCCTCGCCGGGCCTCGCCCGGAGGAAGCGACGCCCGGCGAGGCCGGCCATGGCCGGTGGCTGGCCTCCGGCCACCGGCCATGGTAGAAGAAGAAGAAGACAGAAATGAAAAAAGAAAAGAAAGAAAAGAAAAAAGAAAAAAGAAAAGAAAGAAAAAAATCAGAAAAAGAATATTTAAAAAATTGAATTATACACATGGAAATGCCATGTGTCATTAAAATTTAAATATAAAAGTCACGTATTAAATTTGGTCGGAATTTCTCGCCGTTGGCACTTAAGTGATCATTTTTTCTCCGATTTGGCACTTAAGTGATCACCGGCGTAAACTTTTGGCACTTAAGTGATCCAAATGAAAATTTTGGCACCAAAGTGGCCTCCGTACATAAGTTTTGGCACCAATACTGTTCTTCCCCCCAAAAAAGGCACAAAGAAAGGCAAAAAATAGGCAAAACATACTAAAACTGTTCCTGCTGTACCTAATAATGATATCGATTTATTCAAGGAAGAACTTTGGGCATTTCAACGTCTATTGAATGCTTTTGCTCCTGTTGCCTCCTTGTCTTCCCCTTTGCTTCAAACCTAGCTACTCTAGGTATCTTCTTTGGGGGGTTTAATACATATGTTGTTTCTAGCCCATAGATCATTGATACATAAGTTCCAGATCACATGACAGGTTTTTCTAGTCTTTCATCAATACACCCCTACTTCTAGTAGAGACAAAGTTTGTGTAGCTAATGGAACCGTCTCTTCCATTATTGGAATAGTATCTATCAATTGTTCCTTCATTCTTTCTTGTCTTTTGTTTTACATATTATGTCATTCTCTACTAATCTTGTTTCTATTAGTAGTTTGACTCAAAACTTAATTGTAAAGTAATTTTTTGTTTCCTTCAAATTGTGTTTTCCAGGATTTGGTAACGAAGAAGGAGATTAGACATGGTAGATTGGCTGTTGGTCTTTATATGCTCAAGGGTAGTGTGAGTTTTACTTCTACTTTGTCTTCTATGCATCATCAAGTTAATTCGGCATTGACATATCTCTATTAGTGACACTGCAGATTAGATCATCCCCCTTTAAGAACTTTAGAAAAATCTTTTCCTAGTCTCATTTCAGCTTGTAAGGTCCTTTCCGGTGTACTTCTATTTCCGGTCTTAGATGGTTTGTCATTTTTATTAATTGTTTTTCTCGTACAACTTGGTTTCTTTTTATTGAAACATAAGAGTAACGTTTTTCACTGTTTTCAAATCTTTCACAAAATGATTCCAGCTCTGTTCAACGCCACTGTGAAAATTCTTCATGGTGACAATGGCACTAAGTACACTGATGGTCAATTTCAACAATATCTCTCTAATCATGGCATTAATTATCAAACTAATTGTGTTGATATCCCAACACAAAATGGTGTTGCCAAAAGAAAGAACTGACATTTGTTAGAAGTCGCTAGGTCTCTTATGTCTGCCCGTCATGTCCCAGTTCAGTATTTAAGTGATGCTATCTTAATCACTGTCTATTTAACTAATTGAATGCCTACTAGAATTCTTGATTCCCGTACACCTATTGATGTTTTACAAGGATCGTTGACTTTTATTCTTCCTGCAAAACTTTTTGGTTATGTTTCTTATGCTTGTAACATCATCTCTAAGAGCAAGTTGGAACCCCATGGTCTCCGCTACATTTTTCTTGGGTATTCAGCTACTCAAAAGGGTATAAGTGTTATCATCCTTTTTCTAGGAACATTATTGTATCTATGGATGTGATTTTTCACGAGTCTAATTCCCATTATTATGCTCCACCACTTCGGGGGGAGTGTTGTAGTGTGGAGGTGTTTCCCATTCTAGATGATCCTAAGGATATTATTCACTCTCCTCCTCCGATAGACTCTCATGGTTCTCCTCTTTCCCAAGAAGAGAATAATGCAACGCAAGAAGAGGATAGTACAATACCTCAAGGGGAGATAACAGAGTAACCACTTCAGGAGAAGACCACACTTGTTAGGCAAAATATTGATATCTTTCAAAGGTAGATTGATAGTAGTGAAACATTGAAAACATATCATTGTAGGGGTTCCACTATCAATATGTAGGTTGAGACCACTAAGACATTGCATGTTCAATCATTATATATCCGGATCTGGATTCTACTGCTACTTCTGGTGAGATTTCTCCTTTCGAAAGGGTACTAAAACTTGTACTCAACACCCTATATCCCATGTTGTCTCGTATGACTCTTTGTCTTGCTCTTATCATACTTTTATATCTTCTCCATCATCTATCTCTATTCTATAGAATTGGCATGAAGTTTTTAATGAAACGTAGAATGCAGTAATGGTAGGGGAGATGCATGCTTTGAAAAGAAATGGCATGTGGCATCTTGTTGTTCTTCCTCCTGGCAAACAACTAGTAAGATGCAAGTGGATATTTGTAGTCAAACAGAAAATGGATGATACTGTGGACAAATATAAGGCATGATTGGTGGCCAAGGGATTTATTCAAATTTATGGAATTTACTATCAAGAAACCTTTGCTCCAGTTGTCTAATTGGATATTGTTCGAGAGCTACTTTCGTGTGTTGTTAACCGGGATGGAATCTTTAGCAATTAGATGCAAATAATGCCTCTCATCATGGAGAGTTAGAAGAGGAGGTGTATATGGACATTCCTCCAAGTTTTTCTTGTGATGAATTCAAGGTAAAGTGTGTAAGTTGAAACGTGCACTTCATGGTTTGAAGCAGTCACCTCGAGCCTGATTTGGTAGGTTTCAGAAAATTATAATCTCCATGGGTATAAATAGAGTAATGTTGATAATACTTTGTTTGTGAAGAGATCAGGTGCTAAAGTCATTATTCTCATTGATTATGTACATGACATTGTTGTCATAAGAAATGATAGTGATGATATTAGCCGGTTGAAGAAGTTTCTTAGACAAAAGTTCGAGATAAAGGATTTTGGAAAGCTCCAGTACTTTCTTGGAATTGAAGTTGTCATATCTTTAAAAGGTATCTTTCTATTCCCAAAGAAGTATGTCATTGATGTTTTGATAGAAGTTGAGTTATTGGGATGCCATCCCTCTGATATACTTATTTAGGCCAATACTATTATGATGGTGATGTAGTGAATAAGGATCGTTATCACTGTTTAGTGGGTAAGTTGATTTATTTGTCCTATACCCGACCTAATATTGATTTTATTGTGAGTCTGGTAAGTTAGTTTATGCATAATTCATACTCTACTCATATGGATGCTGTTCTTTGAATCCTTTGGTATTTGAATTCTGCTCCTGGGAAAGGAATTATGTTGTCTCTTCATGATGACTTGAAAGTTGAAGCCTATACAAATGCTGAATGGGCTGGATCTCCTGACCAGAAGTCTATTTCTAGGTATTGTACTTTCTTGGGAGGGAATCTTGTGACTTGGCACAGCAAAAAGTAGAATATGGTTACTCGGTCTAGTGTTGAAGCATAATTTCGTGCAATGACATAGGGAGGTTGTGAGCTATTACAGCTTAAAATGATTAATTGAAGATTTTGGTGTATATGATCTTGTTACTACGATGCTATATTGTGATAACAAGATCGTCATTAGTATTGCTCACAATTCTGCACAGCTTGACCATACAAAATATGTGTAAATTGATAGGCACTTTATCAATGAGAAGTTGGAGAGTGATTTAACTTGTATACCCTTTGTTCAGTCCATTGATCAACTGGCTAATTTGTTCACAAAAGGATTAGGGAGTAATCCTTTCACATTATAGTCAAGTTGGGCATGTGCGATAACTATGCTCCAACTTGAGGGAGAGTGTTGAGAGTATTTGCCCAATGAGGGCATATTTGTCTATTTTCTTTATTAATTTATGTATGGTGACAATAAGTGTGATATTGTAATTTTGGCCTCTTGGCTTTATAAATAAATTAGTTTGGGATGACATTAACCTAACCAAGCATTCGATTTAGTATTTTGTCTTTCAACACCCTGAAAGTCCCCACCTAGCGAGATGTTCATGCTTTGAACCTTAACTTCATGAACATAAATTACAGGAGCTCAACTGCTCCAAACAAAGCCATACAAAACTAAAAGACTCTTCCGATACATCAAAACTTCCTTGTCGTGAGTAATTTCATATCAAGAGAAGGGTCAAAAGAGTTAACAAGAAGAGGAAGCTATAGCATGGCTAGTAGGTGGATCTCTGACACAGATATTTCCTAGTCGGTGATTGTAAAGATGCAGTTCATGATCGGTGATGCTAAATGTGTTTTACCTTTTACATGAACCAAGTTTTCTCCACTTCCCAGGTGGAAGGGTTCAAAAGATGGCACCAAAAAATAAATATGTTTCATCTGGCATAAATCTAAGTAAGCCAGCTCTCAGCTACATATGGGTCAAAGAACAACCACTCTGTTCATTTAGACCCTAAAGATAGATTGCCAACTTTCATCCAAAAAACTAGCTTTCATCCAACTCTAGGATCCCTTGAGTGCACCAAAAAGCACTTGCCATCCCCACAATTCAAACATGAACCATGACCAATAATATTTAACATTGATTTAACGTTGCTCAATAAAATTAACCACTTTCAACACGCCCCAGAGGTGCTAGTACAATTTTGTAAAGTCTCAAGCCAAGAACACGGCTTTCGCCAACATCATGTTACTAAAGTCGAATTGATTGAGGCTGAGAAGGAAACATAATTCAATAAAGAATGCCGTCAAAATGGGCATTCCGACAGAGACTTTACTTTGCTTTCACTTCACATTGTAGAGACTAATATTAATCGAGGAGCTCAATGTTCCTCACAAACCCAACAAGGTACAAAAGAATTGAAGGGAAAATTGTTCAAAAATTCTTAAACATATTGCACTTTTGTCAATTCATTCATAAACCTTTTAATTTTGCCAATTGAGTCTTTAACATTTTCACCTTTTGCTAATTGAGTCAATCCAGCCAATTTTGACCGAAAATCACTGATGTGGATATTGACCATCCTACGTGGCATAGGCGACGCTAACATAGATAATTTTTAATAATACTTTTTCTATGTTTTTTTTCCTCTCTTCTTTCTTTTGCTAGTAATCGACCACTAGCCATGGCCGGGTGGGTTAGCCTTACCAGGGCAAGGGTGGCCATTGCCCGCCATAGGTAAGGCCCAACCAAGTGAGGGCCTCACCGAGTGTCACCTTCGCTCGAGCGACACTCGGTGAGGTCGCCCTGGCCAAGGCTCACCCTCCCCTAGGCGAGGTTCGGTGAGGGTTGGCCTTGCCCAAGCCAGATATGGCGAGGGGAGCCCTCGCTCGGCCGAGCATCGCCTGTGGCAAGCAACGGTGATTGTCTAGGCGAGGCCAGCCAGCCTGGCCACTAGCTAAAGGAAGAAAAAAGGAAAAAAAAGAAAAAAATCATTAAAATATTATTAAAAACTGTCCACTTCAGCGTTAACCATGCCATATAGGACGGTGGCATCCACGTTAACGAATTCTAATCAAAATTAATCAGATAGACTTTATCAACAAAATTGAAAGGTTTATGACTCAAGTGGCAAAATTGCAATAAGTTTAAATTTTTTAAACAATTTTACCAAGACTTGAAAGTCATTAGAAACATTCGAGCTTCTCATCCAAATTTTGCAATTCTGCTCTCACTCATTCAATTCATTCCCGGCAACAACCACAATCGAATCACCAACAAGCAATCAACAGAAAATGAAAACCTGGTTAAAAGAAAATTGAACCTGAAAAATGGGGATTGTCAAGGGCTCGAGACAGACGGTGCAGTCAAACACATCTGGGTCCATGAGAGTGAACTCAAATGACCCAATCTTCCGGCCAAATGGAGGGGACCAACCGCGACCGTACGAGTACTCATCTCCGAACCAATCCATGGACACTGATCGGTCTTCATCCTGTTCTTCTGATTCTTCTTCGCTTAGGATCAATTCATCTCCCCAATCGTTGTCTGAACGTCGGTCTCCCTCTTCTTCTCTACCTCCCTCTTCTTCTTCAACGGGTTGGCTTCGGCTACGGCTACGTCTACGTTCTTCTTGTTCCGAATGATAGCCAGAAGGAGGAAAGCGGTGCCTCTTGCCAAGATTGCGGCTGCTGGGTACAACGTCGCCGTCGTCTTCTCGGTCCACCGAAAATTTCGCCATTATCGTCTTGATTTACTATATGAATGTGTTTCTCTTACTCTCCAATTTGTGAGCATATTTATATATCCGAGGGTACGTCGCCATGGTCTTATCCGTCCACTAAATCTTTCGCAATTATTTTCCCAATTGAAAATGACAATGCGTAGTACATCTCCATCGCCAATTTGTTGACATGTTTATATTTACGAGAGTACATCGCCATCATCTTCTTCGTCCTTTGAAAATTTCGCCATTGTTGTCCCGATTCAAACTATGCACGCATATATCTTGCTCTCCAATTCGTGAACATATAATGCCAAGTGATATCCCATCACGGTCCAACAATGTCATATCAAGTTCCGGGGACCTCCCGCCAAGTTACCCTCATTCCTCAACTAAGAGACAACGTCCATCATAATCTTGGAATGTTCCAAAATATTCCAACGACGCCACCAAGAGAGGAAAACATTGAAGAAAGTATTGAATAAATGGAAATGGATCGCCTCTTTTGCTGAATAGTAAGGGACAAAATAGTACACTTGCGACAAATTTATCCAAAATTAATTTTTAACTACTAAAAATCTCAAATTAGTACCCATATGACAAATTTACCTCAAACTAATTTTTTTACCATTAAAAATCTCAAATCGATACATTTGTAATAAATTTTCTCTTTGTTAGGTTCCGTTAAATTGGATTAATATCACGGAAAACCCCAAATTGATATATTTATCAACTGTCACGTGTCGTCCAATTCAACAATTTGATGGTAAAATTTAACGAAAACTAATGAATGACAAATTTATCTCAGGTGTACTAATTTGGGGTTTTTCGCAGTATTAACCCTTGTAATTATTATGTTCACAAGTGTGGTACTATATATTATGTTCACGGTGTGGCGTTGTTTGCTTTAATTATTGTATGGCATTAACTCCCGCGAGGGGGTGTAAATTTTCTCCCATTTTGCCTATATAAGGCATCACTTGTAAACGTCTGAGGCAGAACGAGTAGTAGAAATACTCCTCTTAACAAAAGCAGTGTGTTAGTGAGCAAAATCATGAATGGCTAAACACTTCCTTCACCTTTCAAAGCCTGTAGATATTGGGAATCTTAGAATGTATCGTAACATAGTCTTGATTACTCCCTTGTAGTTTGTGTTGCGCTCGCCTCTACGAGGATCTTGTGCATCCGAAAATCCGAGGCTAGAGAGCCTTTTGTCCTGAATAGGCGTGAAAAGCTAAAAAAATCAGATAAGGCGTAAGAGAGGCACCATAAGGAATAGAATACTTGCATTAGTTCATTCTTATTCTTGTCATCGTCTTATACGTCCGCTAAAAATTTCGCCATCATTGTCCTGGGTTATTTTGTGAATGTGTCTTTCTCACTCTCCAATTTGTGAGCGTAATTATATTTATGTGGAAAAATTTCAAATAAGGGTATGAAATGAAGCCGTTTTCTCAACAACAAAAAAAAATGGTTCCTAGTGGATCCTATCTTAATCTCTAATAAGGCCCCAAGCTGATTGGCTCACCAATTTTTGTGAGGTTTGTATTAGATACGATTACTTCCAATTTTCCAGGCTGATTTGTGAGGCTTGTATCAGATATAGTCACTTATTAAATTTTTGTATAGTTGGATCCACGATGAATTGAGCGATCCAAACCCAAGACATTGACTTATACGATGCGAGAGAAAATTATTTCCAAGATTTTGATTTCATTTTATATATCTTTAATTTTAGGATATTATCTTAGAATTGATTAGCTTAAGACGTAGATATTACTCTATCTCAGTTACTTGTTTTGATTTTACACTAGAAAGTTTTAAATATTTTAAGTGATTTTTATTAGCATTTAGTAGTAATATTGATACTTATATTCAGGTTTAATTTCGGATTACGGATCATGTACTTGTTATGTCGTTTATTTTCTGTTGCATCAGTTTGTCATAAAAAAAAATGAAGGACCAAAAAATATCAAACTAACGCAGCAAGAACGATAAATGACGTGAATAAAACTATTTGCAAACACGTCCATCCGCGCATAATAGGTCAAAGATGAAATTCTAGCTAAAAAAATACCTCAGAATAGCTCAAAAGTGAAATTTTAGAGAAAAGCCTTGTAATGTATTCGCAATAGCAAAAAGGTGAAAATCCAGTTGAAAACCCTTGTTTGTTTTGCGAAAAGCTATTTAATGGAGGGAAATATTTTCCGTGTGATTTTTACAGAAAATTATTAGTTTCCAGTTGTTTGATGGTGTACTTGAAAGTGAGACAGAAATTTTTTTCGAAGTTTAGATTTTACTTTCAAAAGTTATCCTCTCAATTATAAAGATATTTTTTTCCTAATGGAAGATGATAGGATGATATCCAAATCATCTTATAATTTTCTTCATTTTGATTCTATTAATACTTGGGAAAGTTTAGAGCACAAATTAAAGATATGGTTTATGAAAAGTGAAGAACTTCACATTCTAAGAAAATCTGAATCCTTTTGGGTCAAATGCTTGATCTTGTAATTTTTGGAGCATCCAAATCATCTAGTTTACTTAAAATTGTGTTTATTTTGATTCTATCAGTACCAGGAAAAGTTCAGAGCACTAGTCGAGGGCATAATTCTTTGAAAATCGAAGAACTCCCCAATTCAAGAAGGTTTGGTTCCTTTTGGATCAAACGCTTGATATCTTGATTTTTGGAGATAACAAAACAACATAAGAATGTGAGAATGTTTCTTCATTATGCGTAAGCATGTATGTTTGACACTTTTGTTCCTGCCAAGAACACCGACTGCAATGTTACATCTCTCATTTGCCAATTTAAATCAATCATCGAATGCCAAGTGTGGTGTACTTGATAACACTCTGCAAGCGGCAATTATTTTGAGTCCCAGGAATTGTTTGAACACCCGTAAATCTCTCTTACGAAATACACCAAACAGCCTACCTAATTAAGCTGATCATTCATCTGATTTCAGTTCATCCGTTCATCAAAAAATGTCTTGCGGGTGAATTATTTGAAGCAAAATAACAATAATCAAGTCGATACGATGAAAGTTCCTACCGACGATAATAAAGTTCCTACTGACGAATCAACGATGTTTTTTGCAAAAAAAAAAATTGAAAGAACTAAAAAGAAAATATCTACGACATTAATCTCTTGCTTCATTACGCCAAATACGCACTTCAAGCTTGAGGCCCAAGGAATCATCGAAGAACCTTCTTGGCACCAAAAGGCAAGGCTCCTGATTCGGATCATATTCAAAGTCTGGAACGCTCTTGGTGCAGGTGTGAAGCTTGAGAGAGCTTTCCCGGTAAATCGCTTCTATGTCGTAGGCATAATCTGCCTTTGCCAAGGGGCCAATGCAACTGATCTTAATCTTGCTGCCCAGGTCTATAGTTTCGTTTTTGAAGACAAAGAGAACATCTTCTCCCTCTTCTTTAAGCAGACAGACCTCCGTCTCGACCTTTATCGAGAGAGAGGCGTTGGAGTTGAAACGAAAGGATGTCGGAGAAGCCTCGTGCTTGGAACTCAAGTGCTTCACTAACTGCCCAAACAAGCCAACATAGCTGCAACTCGAAAAGGGACACGAACACGGAGCGAACGGGCATGTCTTCTCGTGGTCATTTTTCATGTGGTAACCAAACTTCTGATTGCAGCCAAACTTTGCATTTTGACATGCCATCCTGACAGACTCCAGGATCTTCTCGACTGCGCAGCATCTGTGGCCAACAGGCATAGAGCAGGACGGGCATCCGTTGCTTATCATTTTGCAGCAGGAGGAGCAAGCTATGTGACCATTTTCGCACTGTTTCACCACACGAAGACAATGGATTATCAGTTCAGACATATAACAGCAACTATCACAAAGTGCGCCACCTTTGTTCAGGATATACAAAATCTTAACCTGAACAAGTCGGACATGGACATGGAATTTACTCATCACAATAAGAACATGAGGTTAAAATAAGAGCTGAGGTGAAAACAATCAAAACCTACCACTGCGGTAATTGACACAACATTAGGTTCAGTCAACCTTAACAACTGACAAAGCCAGAACATCACATATACTCCCAACAAAGAGACACAATTTTCAGTCTAATCCTGAAATGATCGCAGCTAACAAGAGTTAGCTCGAAAAGGAGCTAGTTATCCACACAATAAAAGACTTCATGATTTAAAGACAAAAGACTTCTCAGAAAACAAAATTTATATATCGGCAGAAAAATGAACCCGGGGCTAAACTAAACCGTGAAAGTCCCCATGTAGCGAGATGTTCATGCCTTGAAGATGAATCTCAGGAGCTCGACTGCTCTAAACAAAAACATACAAAACTAAAAGTCCCTTCCAATACGTCAACACTTCCTTGTCAGGAGTAATTTCATATCAAGAGAAAGGTCAAAAGAGTCGACGAGAAAAGGAGTGAAAATTATCCAAAAAGTCCTAAACCTATTGAATTATTGCCAATTCATTCTTAAACCTTTCAATTTTGCCAATTGATTTCTAAATCTTTTGACAATTTGTCAATTGAGTCCATCCGGCCAGTTATGGCTGGAAATCAATGACATGGACGCCGGCCGTGCCACATAGGACAATCGGCACTAACATGGATAATTTTTAATAATATTTTAATTATTTCCTTTTTCCTTTTTCTTTTTTTTTCTTCCCTTCTTCCTCCTCTAGCCGGTTGCCGCAATTGACAATGGTCGACAACCGGCCAGAGGTGAAGGTTGGTGAGGCTCGACCTCGCCCAGCCATGATGAGGACGAGGTCGAGCCTCGCCTGGGGCAAGCGAGGCTTGCCGTCACTAGTGGCCGGCGGGGGCGAGCTTCGTCAAAGGCCATTGAGGTCGTCTCTAGCCAATTGCCGGGCCTCAAGGACTGGCTAGAGAAGGAAGAAGGAAAGAAAAAAAAAGAAAGAAAATAAAAAAATAAAAATTGAAAAAAAAATCAAATTATTATTAAAAATTATCTACGTTAGCACTGGCCGAACTACGTAGGATGGCCAGCATCCACATCAAGAATTTCTATCTAAAATTGGCCGAATGAATTCAATGGGCAATTTATGAAAATATTTAGAACTCAATTGGTAAAATTGAAATGTTTAGGATTAAATTGGCAAAAGTACAATAAGTGTTGGACTTTTTAGATAATTTTCCCAGAAGAGGAAGCAATAGCATGGCTAGTGGTGGATTCTGGTCAGGATACCATCCTCAAAATATCGCTGACGCAGACATTTCATGGCTGGTGATCGTAAAATATGCAATTCATGATCAGTAATCCTAAATGTGTTTTACCTATTATGTGAATTAAGTTTCCTCCACTTCCCAGGTGGAAGGGTTCAAAAGATGGCACCGTAAGAGAAGTGCGTTTCATACGGCATAAACCTAAGTCAACCAGCTCTCAGCTACATATTGGTCAAAGAACATCCACTCTGTTTCAATGAAACCCTAAAGATGGATTGCCTACTTTCATTCAAATCACTAGCTTCTTGTCATTTGCGCCCTGAATTCTATATTAATCCCAACACCAACTTCCAACTTTGGGATCCCTTAAGTGCACCATAAAGCGCTCCCCATCCCGATAGTTCGAACAGGAATCAAGACCAATAAAATTTAGCTACAATTCAACTTTGCTCGATAAGGTTAACCACTTCCGGCACACCCCAGAAGGTGCCGGTACAATTTTGTATTGTATCAGGCCAAGCACACGGGTTTTGCCACCATCAAGTTACTGAAATCGAATTGATTGAGGCCGATAAGAAAACGGTGTTTTGACAAAAAAAAAAAAACAGGCATCCTTACAGAGACTTTAATCTGCCTTCACTTCATATTGCATAGACTAATATTGGGAAAAGTGTCAAAAAAGTCATAAACCTTTGTCACTGGTGCCAATTCAATCCTAAACATTTTGCATTGGTGCCAATTCAGTCATTCCGGCCAATTTTGGCCGGATTTTGCTGATGTGGACGCAGATCGGCCACCGGCGCTGACGTGGATAACTTTTAATCATACTTTAATATTTTTTTAAATTTTGGCACAAAGACAAAAGGTTTAGGACTGAATTGGCACCAATACAAAATGTTTATGACTGAATTGGCACCAAAAAAAGGTTTAGGATTAAATTGGCACAAATGCAAAAGGTTTAGGACTGAATTGGCATCAAAAAGAGATTTAGGATTAAATTGGCACTAATACAAAAGGTTTAGGACTTTTTTGACATTTTTCCCGACTAATATTTAATCGAGGAGCTCAATTTCACTCACAACCCCAACAAGGCACAAAATACTCGAAATTCATCAGCAAGATGCGAGCTTCTCATTCAAATGGTGCAATTCTACTCCATCTCATTCGATATATGGCCAGCAAAAACCACAATCGAATCACCACCAGCAAGCAATCAACAAAAAAAAATGAAAACACGGTCAAAAGAAAGTTGAACCTGAAAAACGGGGCTCGTCAAGGGCTCGAGACAGATGGCGCAGTCCAACACATCTGGGTCCTCGAGAGTGAACTCCAATGACCCAACCTTCGAGTGCTCGCCTTCATCCTGTTCTTCTAGTTCTTCTTCGCTCGGGTTCAATTTGTCTCTCCGATCGCCGTCTGAACGTTGGTCTTCCTCTCCTTCTTTGCTACCCTCTTCTTCTTCAGCGGGTCGGCTTCGGCTTCGGCCAGAAGAAATAAAGCGGCGTTTAAGGCGGCGCCTCTTGCCAAGCCAGGAGCTGCTGGGTACAAGTTCAACGCCGTCTTCTTCTCCTTCCGGTCGTTTAAGGCGGCGTTTAAGGCGGCACCTCTTGCCAAGCCAGGAGCTGCTGGGTACACGTACAGCGCCGTCTTCTTCTCCTTCCGGTCGTTTAAGGTGGCGCCTCTTGCCAAGCCACGAGCTGCTGGGTACACATACAGCGCCGTCTTCTTCTCTATGGGGTCGTTTAAAGTGGCGTTTAAGGCGGCGCCTCTTGCCAAGCCAAGGACTATTGGGTACACGTACAACGCCGTCTTCTTCTCCTTCCGATCGCTTAAGGCGGCGTTTAAGGCGGCGCCTTTTGCCTAGCCAGGAGCTGCTGGGTACACGTACAACGCCATCTTCTTCTCCTTCTGGTCGTTTAAGGCGGCGTTTAAGGCGGCGCCTTTTGCAAAGCCAGGAGTTGCTGGGTACACGTACATCGCCATCTTCTTCTCCGTCCACAGGAAATTTCGCCATCATTGTCCTGGTTTACTTCATGAACGTGTATTTATTTCTTACTCTCCAATTTGTGTGCATATTCAGATTTATAAGGGGTAAATGGTCGCCGGCTGTGCTTGAGAACATGTTTGCAAAGCCCTTTGGATGCGTTTGGTCGGTTGTGCGAATTTTTTTGTTGAATAGGATAAGGTCGAATAGGATATGAATAATATAGGATAACAACTGGATGTATAGTATCGTTTACCGTATTTGGTAGATACCAAATATAACACGGATATAAATGCGTCCGAATTAAATCTCAATTTTTTCTTACCTCCTTCCTCTGTTTCTTAGTTTGAAATACAACTTCTCCCTTCTCGTGATTCTTCTTAAAAAAAATTTGCTCGGTTTCTTTATCATTTTCTCAGACCTTGTCGCCATCCGTAACTTTAGCTCTATACTAGCCGGAGCAACATTCTTAGTGTTTCTCAGTCAAGTGTGTTGGTATTTACGGAACATGCATAATTAAAATAAAACATAAATGCAACGGAAGCAAAAATAAAATTAATCCATACATATATCTCCAAAGCGTTGTTCGTGCATTTTAATAAAAAATTAGAAAAACAAGCTAAACAGATTACCTCTTGTAGCATGCCCAAAAACGACTTAGATGTTCTTTAATTTGAGCCCCACAAATGTCAAACTTTTAGTTCAAACACAGGGGGAAGAACAACAGAAGTGCAAAAGTTGTGTACGAAGCTCACTTTGGTGCCAAAAGTTTCAATCGGATCACTTACGTGCCAAAAGTTGAGAAAAACGATCACTTAAGTGCCATTTCGCCGGAAATCCGACGTGGCATTTTTTTCTTAATTTCTCAAGCTGATGTGGCTCGCCGGGGGCTGATGTGGCATTTCTTTTCTTTTCTTTTTCATTTTCTTTCTTTTTTCCTTTCTTTTCTTTTTTTTTTCTTTCTTCTTATTTCCAATGGCCGGCCTCTCCGGGCCTCGCCTTCCTCGCCGAGGCCACGGCGGCCTCGCCGGCCCTCGCCCGGAGGAAGGCGACGCCTCGGCGAGGCCGCCGTGGCCTTGGCGAGGGCTTGCCTCGCCAGATCCGGCGAGGCCGGCCCTCGCCGAGGCCACGACTGCCTCGCCGAGGCGTCGCCTTCCTTCGGGCGAGGCCCGGTGAGGCCGCCGTGGCCCTCGCCGAGGCCACGACTGCCTCGCCCGGAGGAAGGCGACGCCCGGCGAGGCCGGCCATGGCTGGTGGCTGGCCTCCGGCCACCGGCCATGGTAGAAGAAGAAGAAGAAGAAAGAAAAGAAAAGAAAAGAAAAAAGAAAAAGAAAAGAAAAGAAAGAAAAAAAATCAGAAAAAATATTTAAAAAATTGAATTATACACATGGAAATGTCACGTGTCATTAAAATTTAAATATAAAAGCCACGTATTAAATTTGATCGGAATTTCTCGCCGTTGGCACTTAAGTGATCGTTTTTTCTCCGATTTGGCACTTAAGTGATCGCCGGCTTAAACTTTTGGCACTTAAATGATCCAAATAAAACTTTTGGCACCAAAATGAGCTCCGTACACAACTTTTGGCACTTCTGCCGTTCTTCCCCCTCAAACACACCACCAGCAAAATGAGAGAAAAACTTTTTGCGTCTCAGGTACAGAAATTGCACACTCTCTCTTTGCAACTGTTGCTGATCACTCTTTTATAGACGATCAGCAACAGTAGCTGATCGCATGACACACGATCAGCGTGCACCGGATCAGCAAACAGTTGCTGATCGTGGTGCATATAGCACAATGCACCACGATGAGCAACTGTTGCTGACAATGGCATGCACCCTTTTATCTTTTTTTTTAAATAATGAAATAAAATAGTGTATGACTAGCATGTGTGAATTTTGGGCACCTTAATATGTGTCCTCTTTGGGCGTGCGTGTGCATCATATGCCCACACGGTCATGACCTAAAAAATTAAATTAAATTAAATTAAATTAAATGAGATTTAATGTAACTTCAGCCCAACTCAATTCGATTTCTATGATTGCGAACATATTTTCAATATTATTTCTCCAATTCAACGTCATCCTGAATTGGTTATGATATGTAACATCCATAGGTTCATCACTGAGCTAGTAGTAAGACTCGCACTAAAGCATTAATACTCTCAAGAGAGTTGATTGTCCCAATCATCCTCCAGGTCTTACAAACTATGATTGACATCTAGCAATATGTCATGGCTATTCAAACAGTGTAAATTCTTTAAGAACATAATGAATTTGTCAGCTTTGGCTATAATGTAGTTCAATCCCTTTGCCTGATTATGTCCCGATCGAACAAAGACCATGAAATATTTGTTAAGCCACCAATTCGATTATATGCACAAACCTAATTGATAGGCATTTTATACAAGAAATATATAATTCATTCTCGATTACGACATCGGGCGAGGATTTCAATGCAGTGTCATGACTAGATTGCATAGGATATCATTATTGAACCTTGCATGTAATAAGGAGGCATATTCCATTTTTCGCACACATGTAACTTTGTATGTGAACGAATTATGACCATCAAGTATAGAGATGGATCAACGAATCGGCAATATGCACACCTGTGAACCATATCCATCCAACACACAAATCAACATTGTGCCTCTGTTCTAAGGATTATTTACACAAGACCAAAGCATGAACAGTTATACATTGACTACGCTAAAAGCTTCCATGTTGCTAATTATTCTATGCGTGTTATGTTCAGTGAACTTGTTTGGAACAAGCACCTGTGTTCGAACTCGGGCATCACAATACCCAATGACTCATGACTCGTCATTCCCTTAAGTATCCAATACTTAATGGTGAAGCTAAGAACACATTGGTCTCAACAGGAAATATCCACTCAATGATCCGTCAACCGATAACAATTTAAAGATTTAGTCTAATTGCAGTCTAATTGTGAACCATCACACATATTCTTAACGTCTCAAGAATAGGTTCAGTTACAACTGATGTTATGGAATCATTCATATAAATAATTGAATAAAAAAATGAATACGTCTTTGTCATTAATTAAATAATAATATCGATAGTACAATTGAAATCCCTAACATGTATTTATTACATGATTACTTTGGGGCATACATCCAACAGTGTGGTCACCGTTAAGGACACCAACTACGACATAGAGGCCATGACCGATGCAAGGAGGAGGCTCAACCTTAGGCAACCTCCAAGCATTAGCCACGAACTCTAGCTACCCTCGGGCTACCCTAGCTGTAGCCTTCCTAAGGTCGGCAACCTTGGATCCAAGGTCTGAAGTCTCATATCAGAGGTCTGAAGCGTCAGACCACGCCAATTCGACAAATCTAGAAAAGAGAGAGCAAGACAGATAGGGAAGATGGCTAGGCGGCACTCCGATGTTGAGCTTGTGGGCTGGTCTTTAACTATGGAGCTTGACAATATGATGGCATCGCTTGATGCACTCTCACATTTTTCTCTTCCACGGATGGATCTCTTGCGATTTTAGCAAAAAGCGCCTCCTCCTCCTCCTCGTCCTTCTCCATCATCTCTCTTTTTTCTTTTCTTTTCATTTTTTCTGATCCTTGTCATATTCGGATATATCCCACCTCCTAGGTGGGAGTTTTTTATTTGGATTAAATCTGAGTCATAAATCCGGAATTCAACTCACCCAAATGCCGAATGTGATAATTTTATATCCGATCCAGAGTTATATCCGGTCTACCCAACGTAGCCAAAAGGCCTTGGCCAAATGCAAATGTTTTTCCCAAGTATTTTGGGAGCTCATTTGAGAAATGCTAGCATTTTCAAGTATCCTCCGAGACTGCCTTACCAAGGGCGTTTCGGCTTTGTGGATTTGCCTGAATACTAAGGTCTGAATTAATGAAAGTTTTCAATTGGCCATCTTACCCTCACTTACAAATTGCAAACCCAAATTTGCCGTTTTTTAAACAAAGTCCTCGAAACAAAACACAATAGATCGTCGTTCTCTCCCTTCACTCACGGGACTGCCTCTCTTTTTCCTCGCGCTTCAAGCTCTTCTGATTGCTTCTCTCAACTTCGGCGCTCCTTGCTGAAGTTTGTTTCCGCTCGCCTCTCTCCTCGCTCACCTCTCTTCCTTCCTGACAAACGCAGCTCACTCACCGCTCTCCTCGGCTGGTGACGGGTGCTGCGATTTTTTCGAGTTGGTGCGGACCCCTTATGCCCTTTCTTCTGAGGTACGTGTAATTTCAATAACTTATCCAAGTTTCCTTTTCGCCTTTTGATGATGAATATGAGTGTCTGTTGCTTGCTCTTCGAATCTGGAGTCAGTCCCATCGTTGGAGTCCAAACCTGCCGAGGTACTTCACATTCATCTGATAGTTTATTTGTAGTTTCGTAAATTCGAATTAATGCGACAGTGTTGGGTGTGAAACTGCAATTTGGTTTGGCGTGGTCATCGCTCAATTGGTTTTTGTCTGTGATTTATTGCCTTTTCTGCTCGTTAGGGGGAAACACATTCTTCTGAAATAATCTACAAGTTGCCCAAACTGCAGTTGCTAGATTTCTTTCTTCAGTTCTGGCATTTAGTATGACATTGTAAACCTTTGACTGCACTGTGTAATTTACTCGTGAGACTTAATTGGGGGATGAGTAATGAATTACTTCAGTTCTGGAAGTGCGCTCTAATTACGAGTAATGAATTTCCGGCTTATATCGCTCTGGTTGTGCTAGTGAACATGTTTGACCTGTCCGAGATGAAAGCCAATATTTTGGAGCATGGTTTGAACTTCAAATTTGTGTGGTCACACTGGCAGCATATTGTGAATTAGTCTTCCTTGCTACTGGATGTCCTCCCCCGAACATCTGAATTTGTAATTTTATCAAGTTGGGCTATATGAATGCCGTCCATCTCATTGGATCTCGATTATGGGTATACAGTTGATCCTACTGATGTAAATACTGGGGTTAGTGCTTCAAATGATAATGCATCTTTTGACATGGTACGTTTACGTGATCAATAATCCGTTGTTGTTTTG